TTCTGGAGGATCTCGTGGGCTGAGGGGCGCACAGGCACCTTGGGGACGCAGGTGGCCAAGTCTGGGTCAGTGAGGGAGTGGCTTAGATCAGCTGCAGAGGACTCCACAAAGCCAGAATCTTTCCTGTCCTCGTGGGTGAGGTGTGGAGACTTGCTGCTGTGCGTGGCCAAGGCGCTGCCCAGGGGAGAGCTCCTGGCCTGCTCGACTTCGGGCAGAGATCTTGACAAGTCAGGCTTCCAGCTCAGCCGGCCGTCCCGCTCGCTGCTGCTCCCCGAGCTGAGGGATGAGCTGTCCAGCTCCAGGTCCGGGGTGGAGCTGGCCCTGGGCAGACACCTTGATCTGCTTCTCAGAGAGCTCACGTCCGCTTCGGTCCGGTCAAGGGAAGAGCAAGCCTGCACCCTGCGCTGTCCCGCAGCCTCACCCTGCGGCTGGGGAGCTATCAGGGAGGAGCAGAGGTTCGGGGTGGAGACATTGAGCCCGCAGCTTATGATGGTCTGGAGCTTGTGGTGAGGATTCTTGTAGGGCTGGAGGCATATGGAGGGCATGTAGCCGGTACAGCCGTTGTATCTGAAGGGGAAGGGTGAAAAGCAGCACTGAGAAGAGCCCTTCTCCCAGCTCAGAGTGAGCTTCTCACTCAGCTCACTCTCCCCTCTGAGTGAGGACTCAGCCCAGTGCTGTACACAGGGCATGAGGAAGGGGAAACCGTCCTTAGCCAAGGGCGGTCAGCTCAGGGGGAGCTTGGGGAGGAGCGGGTGAGAAGCACCTGCAGCAGGTAACCAGCTCCCTCGGGGAACGAGAGTTTTGGAAAAGCCTCCTTACCGGATCAGCCACCAGCCATTGTCGGATTTCCTGACCACCTCCACGACGACGCCGTTGTTCAGCGAGAGCTCGTCTGCCTTCTGAGACTCGTAGGCCCGCACAACGAAGTACAGGCTGCCTGCAGAGAGAAGGGGGAGGTCGGTTTTGCCTTGCAGAGAAAACGCCTCCCTCTCCGTGAGCGACCAGCTCAGCAGCCCTGGGGAGCAAGGGAGAGCTGCGTGACAAGCGTCCCTGGGAGGGACCGATTTGCTCAGAGACCCACGGCTGGTGGCAGAGCTGATCAGAAGAGTCAGAGATCCAGGCAGGGACCCCAAGCAATGGTCAAAGTGGTGGGGTTTTTTTTTTTTTTTACAGAATTCATTTTTTGAAGGAGGAAGGTGGTGTCCCGGGGAGCCAGCGGCAGACTTACCCTCCTCATTTGAGCTGAGGGCATTCTGGATGTCTTTGTGGACGTCGATCTCTTCCAGGTATGAGGCTGGGAACCAGGCTATCTGCTTGTCTGCGTTTTCCACTAGCCACCATCCTGCAGCAAACAGAAAAAAAAAAAAGGGGGGGGGTTTAACAGCCTGCAAGTAGGCAGATGACTGTAATCCCTGGGTAGGGGCTGCTCTGCTGCAAGAGAGCAGAGGGACATTCTGCAGAGCAGCTCAGCGCCTGGCCGATGCCGTGCTGATGCTTTGTTCTTTCCTCCCGTATAAATCCGGGTACAAACACCCACCCGCGCCCGCGATGCCACCCACTCGGCATTTACCAAGCTATGAATCAGTCTCCACCATCCATCCCTGAAACTGAAGGATCCCTGTCATGCATACCAGTCATGTCCTTGATTAACACTTCAATAACTTCCTTCTTAGCGACTTTGAAAGTCTTGTTCTTTGTGTCTTTGGTTTCAAAGGTTTCTATGCATCTGTAGCTCTGGGATGCCTGGGGGTGTGTAATAGAGGAGACCTGCTGCCGTGACTGGTTTTTCTTTTCCCCTCCAATTTCTGATGGCATGATCACAACACTGGAAAGTAAAGCTTAATATCAGTTTACCGAAAACTCACATGGAAGGTTGAGTTTAGTGTTAGTTTTGGTAAAATGTAACTGCTGTTTCTTTTCTACCCGTAGTCTGTAACGTTTCTGTTTCATGAAGACATATGCAAACAAAAAAATACAAATATGATTTCATACCTGTTTTCAGGAAAGGATGGATCTAGGTCTTGGGTCTGTGCCTTGAAAAACTGAATCACGTCTTCACCCTGGGAGATTTTAGCATCCGTTTTCAGTAGCTCCTGGGAGTAAGTTTCCAGCAGTTTCAGTATCTCCAGGCACCTGTTCAGCTTCCTGCTCTTCCTCTGCTTCACGTTTACATCTTTAAAATAACAAGAGCAAAGCTGGGGTAAGACAGCAACGGATCCGGATGCCTTGAGCGCAGCATGCTTTGCCTGAACACGGGGGTGCCCTCACCTACCACCCCTCCCCGCACAAGCCCAAACTGCAAGAAGCCGAGACAGGAGCTGCCTCCCTGTCATTTTTAATAGCTCCTGATACCATTTTTGAATATCTAAAATTTATCTTTGTTCACATGCAAATGTTGCAAGCCGTTCTGGGGCAATGTTTAAGTTACCAAGTGCAATTATCTATTAAAAAAAAATAATAATCTGTCTGGGTTACTTTAAGTCAGTAGTAGACCCAAGCACGTTGATGTAAGCCAGCAGTACCACGCCACGAGCGGGAGCGAGCTCTTCATCTGTTCCAGAGGAAGGTCAGACTCAGAGGCTGAAGTCTGTGTCAGCAGTTACGGCTGTCCGCAACAGCTCTATCGTGTTTGTTGGTCCATCAGAGATTTGGTCTCCTTACCTTTAAACCTGGGTATTGTCCGGTCAGATCTCTTGAGTGAGCCGCTCTCGATGGGGAATTTTCTCTTCAGCTCTTTCTAAAAGCAAGGGGGAGGAGAAAATAGTGATGCTTCGCAGCCCTGGCTCCCCTCCCCAGGAATCCTATTTTCAGGGAAATATTCACTTACATGGAATCTCTTAAAGTCTTCAAATGTCCGGTAGATGAGAATGTTGTTCTGATCTGACCAAGACACAAACATCATGTAGTTCTGGAAAAATAAAAGGGAAAAGGAGCGCATTTTTTTAAATTACAGTGTTCAATATGGGATGTTTGCAAGCAATTGGCATTTGCCAGGACCTGTGGTTTATTTCTAGCTTCAGGCTGCAAGACCATCACATTAAAAAAAATTAAACATTAGCCCTACAGAAATATTTCCTTAATTTTAGGGCCCCAAATGGGTAATCATTGTTGAAACCAGAAGAAATTTATGACACTGTGAACAAGAAGGCAGCAGAATCCAAGATAAATGTTTTCTTATGATATTAAGATCATTAAAAACCAACTCCAAGACCCCTGTCCTAGATCACAAGGTTCTAATCCAAACACTGTGGGGAAATGAGCAAGTATAGCCCTGTAAGAGTAACTCAAAAAAAAAAACCCCAAAGTTTCCCAATTTGTAAATATTTAAGGAGGAAAAAAAAAAAAATTCCAACAAAAAAACCCCATTAAAGTACCTTCTGCTTGCTGCATTGCATCAAGCCTACAGCCTTCACATCCACCGGGTACCTGCTGCAGCTCATCTTCCCCAAGCCTGCTCCTCCCTCCCCAGGCAGCTGGAGGCTGAGCAGAGATGCAGCTCCAGGCACGACTCCCGTGGTTAAATACGCTGGAGCGGGAGGCAGGGCGCAGGTGTTCCTGTGCTTCCTCCTCCGCCCAGTAACGCTGGCAGAAACTCCGTAATTTGGTAATTCGGCAAACTACCGCGTGCCTTTTACCTGCCCCCTTGCTTTTGACATGCAAATAGTCCTGGGTGCAGATAGCAGGGGCATAGTTCAGAGAGCTGGGGAGGAGAAGCATCTTATCTTATCTTATCGCATCCTTATGAGAATAGTGCTGGTAAGCGAGGCTGGCCCTGCGGCTGGGGCCGTTTATCATCCCTGGGTGTCGGGCAGCAATACCTGCTGTGAAGTGGAGTACATTTCCAGGGATGGACGTGTTGTGTTTATGGCTATATTGCATGGACGTGCCTGTTGGAGTTGCCTGCAGCTTGGGCTGCGCTCACACCAGTCCCAAAAAACTGATTAAGAACGCGGCTTGTTGTAAAGTACAAATTAGGGGTGACTCGATGCATGCCAGCTGTTAAAAAATCTCTTTTCTTTACTGCTTTGTCCCATCTGCTAAGAGACTTCACTTCAAAGGGAAGTCTGGGAGCTGTATCAACGTTTGCATTCTCTCAGAAATTAATGGGAGATGCTGATGCCAACGTTGCCAGAGCAAAGGATGAACAAATACATCCCCCAGTGTGTAACTTAAAAAGTCCCAAAGCTTCTCAGGTGTAAATACACGATGGAGACTGGGCTCCAAATGCTTTGTGCTCTGTTCTGTGTCAAGCCAGGTGTCCATACCCACCCGGGGCGACCAGCAGCTCTTCCCATGGACCAGCTCCTCGCTGCCCGGAGGCACTGGTAATTACAGCCCTGAAAGCCTGTCCTTTCGCTGAGCCGCTGCCTTTAGCGTGCCTCAGGTTATGACTTGGCTGATGGGCATCCGTGTGATCAAACCGCCTTCTCCGTCCTCCCTCCCCCTCTTCTTTGATGAAGCCTCAATTGAATCATTATCATTATTGGAGCCCAAATTGAGAGGCTCAGCCCTGCCTTCCCTTTCATTTCCCAGTTACACCTGGTGTCCCAAAACCCTCAGAAACAGCTGCGGATGATTTTTCATCTACCAAAATAAACCCCTCAGAACTGGAATAGGAAGCCAAACAAGCTTCCTTCTGGATGATGAGAAAAATATGGTGAGCAGGGCCTCGGTTTGCGTTTCATGAGCACGTGAGGCAGCTCCTGTGCAGCAGGATGGCAGTTTCTGGCAAAAAAGGAAGTGTTTTCATTGCAGTTCGACCTATTGCTCCTGGATATCTGTCTTCCGTTGGGAAGGCAAAGTTGTACAGAGAGCACTTTGGTCCTGTGTGCAGGTTTGGTGGGAAAACCCCTTCGATGGCATCTCCAGGGCACTTCCTGGCTCATGGAGCCAGAGAGGAGCTGCCCTGCAGAAAGGCAATGCAAAGCAGGTTGCTGCCCTCAACGGCCCCGGAATTGGACCCTCCATCCCTCTGTTCACAGAGGGTCCAGCAAAAGCACCTGTTGTTAAATCTACCTGGCTCAAAAGGTAAGGTATGGAGAGAGAGGAAATCACTTCATCCAGCGAGTTTATTCTTTACGATCATGCTTATCTAGAAGCTACCAGGCGGCAAAACCCCTCATGACTCCCTGTTATCATGCCCACGCTCACAGGCTTCTCCTTGGCGGCCAAGCTGGGGTCAAGCTCACCTTTACATGGCTCTGTTACGTGGTTCTCGGAAAAGCTGGAACCGAGACTCTCAACAAAGCACGTTTAATTGGTTTCCCAACTCGGAGCAAACACAAAAGACAATGTATTTACAAGAGCATAAAGGTTTAAACATATTTACCCTGAATGGGAAAAAGCAAAGACAATTAAGATCTTAGAGGAGCTGCAATCTGTATGCACAGGAGATGGCCAGGGGAGGTTCAGAGAGTGCGTCGCTCCATGTCGGCAGGTGCTGCGGGTGTTGGTGAAAACAAGAAAAGTCAGAAACGGCCTTGGTTTTGGCAATTGCTAGTTCCATAGTGCCGTATTTCGCCATTCCTGGGGAATTCAAGTAGAAGGGTGGCTTGGAAAACATATAATGCAATGTTAGAACAGGAAGGTGAAACTACATGGGGGTTTGCAAGTCACCTGAGGCTGAAGAGCCAGCCATGCAGTTTGGAAAGCTGGTTTTCCGGAGAGATTGGCTGGTGACAGGGAACTCAGATAAAGCAAAGTATGAGCAAAACTACTCAAAACTCGGTAATTAGTTCTTGAGAAAGCATAGTGCAGAAGCAAAGGTCACTGCAATGCAGAACAGAGGTATGGGGGGGAGAATGGCCAAGCACTACTGGGAGATAACACTTCTGGTGTCATCCCAGAGAGCTCAGTTCAAGGCTCTGCAGTTGTTATAGCAGCGCTGTTGCCTTCTTGTAGTCAAGTTTGATGTCAAGAAACTCTGCTCAAGAGATTGATCTAATGAGTCACATCATATCAGTCTAAAGTGACACTCTCTGCGAAACCAAAGTAAGGGTCATGCCAGGTTGTCTCCGGATCAGCCCAAGCGCTCCTCAACAGCGTTGCTGCACCTCCTTTGCAAAACCCCGACAGGTTGGGGCCATTTCTGTTGGGAAGGATGGATAACTGATTAGAAAAGCCATTAATTCCACTTCTTTACTGGATATGTTTGAGCACACATAAAAAAACAAGACAAAACACCATTTTCTTGACATTGTCAAGTTTACTTTGCGTCTTCTAATACTTCTATATTATCCTGCCACAAGTTGGTACCTCCTGATGTGTAATTATTAACTGAAGGGTAGGAGCGGTCTGCCCGGAAGAAGTAAAACTCGGCAAGTAGTGCTGGGCGCTGCTATTTCATCATCAATATTTATTTACATAGTTTTTGAGGACAGCAGTTACTTTTTTCTTTAGTTGTTTTACAAGGTACAAAAGAGATCATAAATTAACAAATAATATATAGGAGCGGACTGTCCAGCTTTGACAAGACTGAGGAAACACAAGTTTTCCTCCATAATAACTGCAGACGTTTTGCAGCGTGCTTCAAGAAAGCGACGCATGCCTCGCAAAGGTTGAGCTCTGCCTCCTGCTACTCGAGGAACATCGCTACCACCCTAAAACAGCGGCTCTGGGTATACGAAATGCTGTTTGCGTCACAGAAAGTGACTAAGGTGCAGTCACGGGGAGTCACACAAGAGTCCCTGCCCCAAAGAGCCCATGGTCTGAAGGACATGGTAGATCATCCAGTGGCTTCAGGGAGTCCCCCTGGCCACCTGGGCTGTTTCCTCCGTTACTTCCATTACAAGACCAGCTCCCTTCTACTGAGCGTAAAATGTCCATGGCAAATAAACCCTGAGCATCTGGGTTTCTTTTCATTTCAGTATGGATCAGGAATAACTTAATCCGGAGCGTTTAACCAGAGTAGAGCAGCCTAGGTGGGACAAGTGCCTGGACCAATCCTTCCCTGTGTCCGATGAGAGCCAGAAGTAGAGTTTGAGCACTTGGGGGTAGGCAAAGCCAGCTCTTCACCAGCTCCACCACAGCCATTTTCAAAGTCTAGCAAGCCATGGCCTCATCACAAATGCACACACACAAAAAAGAGAAGGAGCCATGTTAGGAACGTCCTTTACCACGTACAGAAGTCAGGTCCGGGCTGGTTAGTGACCTGTACATCTCATGGCTGCAGATGTGTGGGACCCTATATCCTGCATTTCTCTTTCTACGCCCAGCACAGGAGGAACTGCTGCTGGTTAGACTCAGTGACCAGAGAAAGGCAAAGAGAGAAAAAGTCCTCAAACCACCCTTGAGATACTACGGCTGCAAGAAAGAGATACGGAAAGGAGCCGCGGGGGGGCCTTGCCTGGAACGACGCCGGTAGGAGAGCTTCATCTTTTCCCACCGTCACCTTCAGGATCAAAACCTGCCTTTTGCTGTTCTTGAAGGTCTCCTGCGATGACACATGACCTATCAGCACCTTTAATGAAAAGCCCAGCTGCTAAAAGCTGATTTTTAAGAGTACAAAGAGGTTTTAGACTTCCATTAAATAGAGAAACAGACCCTTATTTAAAAATTGGAAAAAAAAAAAATCAAACGCTGGAGTTGACAAAAATATCCTTCACCTCATAAACAAAGGAAGCAGTTGAATTTTCACACAGGCTGGGATGAGAGATTTTGCAATACCTAATCCAGAAGAAGGTATTTCATTTCCTCCTAATTTCAGTAGCTGCTGCAGGCACTAAAGCATTTTTCAGTGGCCAGATGAATCCGATTCAGAAATACTTTGAGCGCACGCATCAGCGCAGCACTCCTCCACCCCCAGAAGCGGCTGCATTGCAGGAGCTTCAGAAGATGCACGTCCATCTTCAGTGCAGGGGCTCACTAACTACTCGTGGGCAGATTTACTTCATGAGAAACAGGGCTCGAGCACGAAGAGCCGTGGTACCTGGCACTGTATGCACAATAATGGGAGCTGGACAGCAGGTATCTGCACCGGGGCTGTGTGCAGGACCTGCCTTTCCAGGTGATGAACTTGCAGTAGCTGCACAGCACCAAGAATGGATTTTGCAATAACTGCAAGCAGCGTTTTCATTCGGATCACAGTGAATTGCTGCAGCTTATAACAGTTTCCTCCTGCTACTGAGACCAAAGATCCATTAAGGCTGAGTGCGTTTCTCTGTCCTTCACCAGCTCCGGCTGGTAAGGCAGCATTTGCTGGAAGGAAGAAAAAGTAATTTTGCAGTGCTGCTACCTGAGCTGTCTTAGAAAGTCCCAGCCAGCCAGGCCTCCTACGGCGGTGCTGGGAAAAGACAGCTCTCATTTTCTACAAGCCCTTGATCTGCGTTTTCCGCAAGGAAACTGCACGCGATCGCCGTGGCTTCGTGAGCCAGCACGTGGAGAGGCACATCAGGGGCTGGCTTCCTCGGGCACTTTCGTTCT